CCCCTCCCCCCCCAGGAAAGGAAGAGACCCCTCCCCCCTCTCGCTCCGTCACTCACCGCCCGCTGCCCCGCTCGCTCCTTCTCTCGCCGGCCGCCCCGTCCGGGCCTTCGCAGGCCGGCCTGCCTGCCTGCCTGGCCCTCGCGCTCCGGCCCGACCCCTCGCGCGGCGGCTCCTCCGGCGCTTCCGGCTTCCTCCCTTTCCCCGGCGCCGCCCCCTCCCCTCCCTCCTGCCCTCCCCCCCCCACACCGCCCGCCCGCGCGCGCGAGTCACGCAGCACCGCCCCACCAGGCGCTTTCCACGTGACCGCCGGAGAGGGCGGGGCGGGGAGCGCGCATGCGGGGCTCCGGGCCATAGAGAACGCGCGGAGGGAGAGAGGCGCCCCCCCCTCCCCGCCGCACCAGAGAGAGGGAGAGAGAGAGAGAGCCGCGGCTGGGCTCGGCCCTCACGTGACCTCGGTGGAGCATGTGGTGAGCCTCCCTCCTCGCCTGCCCTGCCTGAAGTTGGCTGGGGGGGCGGGGCTGGTTGGGGTGAAGGCAGGGGAGGCCCCAGCGGGTCAGGCTAAGGGGAGATGGGCCAGGATTACCAGCACCTTGCAAGGCTTGACATCTATCCATCCATCTATCCGTCCGTCTGTCTGTCTGTTCATCCATCTATCCGTCTATCTGCCTGTTTGTCTATCTATCTATCCATCCATCCATTCATCTATCTATCCGTCCGTCTATCCATCCATCCGTCAGTCTATCCATCTATCCGTCCATCTGTCTGTCTCTGTCTGTCCGTCCATTCGCCCATCCATCTATCCATCCATCCATCTATCCATCTGTCCATCCATCCATCCGTCTATCTATATATCCATCCGTCTATCCGTCCATCCATCCGTCTGTCTATATCTATCTCTCTCTTTCTATCTGTCTCTGTCTCTATCTCTTTCTATCTATCTCTATATCTATCTATCTATATAAAATCTATTTATATAATCTATCAGTATCTACCTCTATCTAGCTATTTATCTAATCTATTATCTATATCTATCTTCTATCTAATAATCTATCTATATCTAATCTATTTTATCTATATAATCTATCAATATCTACCTCTATCTATATGTACCTCTATCAATCTAAACTATCTAATCTATTTTTATTTATTTTATATTTTGTCATGTTTCTGTAGTGTATATTGGAGGTGGTGACCCTTTGAGAGCTGCATGCAACACAATTTCATTTTAATGTATAGAATAGAACAGAATAGAATAGAATTCTTTATTGGCCAAGTGTGGCTGGACACACAAGGAATTTGTCTTGGTGAAAATGCTCTCAGTACACACAAAAGAGTCAAGAATCATAAGGTTCAAAACTTGATAGTCATAAGCAATCAAATCATACTAGGAAACAGTCCATATAAATCGTAAGGATACAAGCCACAAAGTTAGTCATACAGTCACAAGTGGGAGGGGGTGGGTGATAAGGAGTGATGAGAAGATTAATAATAATAGTAGTGTAGACTTTGTAAATAGTTGAACAGTGTTGAGGGAATTATTTGTTTAGCAGAGTGATGGCTTTCAAAAAGCTTCAATGGCTAGGGACCTTATATTGTAGTTCAAAATATCCAGGTTCTGAAAAATCCTGATGGAAGACTCGGCTTATCCATGCTTCTTTAAAATTGCCAGAACATTCAGCATTCAAGCTGCTGCCGCCCCCACTCCCCAATGGTTTATCTCTGGTTACAAAGCGGTTACAATTAATATTTCAATGTATAATAGCTTGTTTTTTTCCCCTAACATGTTATCCACCAGGTGGGGCTCAACGATCAAAAACGAATATTGACTGGAGCAATTCTGGAAGGGAGGTGGTTTTAAATTAAATTCATTGCTTCTGGGAAAATGAGAGAGTTCACAGACAGGCGCCTGTCTTGATCTGATTCAGCAACGCTGTGCTGTGGAATTGTGGGAGTTGGTCCATGCATCTACAGTGTCCTACCAGTCGATGACTATTTCAGCTTCACAACAGATACAAACTCAATGTAAACGGCTCCAAACTTGATTGGAGAAAGTACGCCTTCAGCCACAGAGTGGTCAATACCTGGAACGCATTACCTGAGTCTGTAGTTACATCCTTTAACTACTCCTTTAACCTTAAACTATCCACCAATGACCTCACCCCATTCCTAAGAGGTCTGTAAGGGGCGTGCATAAGTGCACAATCATGCCTGCCGTCCCTGTCCTATTGTCCCCATTTATTCATACCTATTTCCTGTATTCTTACTCATGTTTATACATACCTATTATCTTGTAAGCGATTGACAAATCAAATAGATCAAATAAATATTAAAAAGAAGAGGGAGCCAAGCTATTCTCCAAAGCACCTGAGGGCAGGACAAGAAGCAATGGATGGAAACTAATCCAGGAGAGAAGCAGCTTAGAACTAAGGAGAAATTTCCTGACAGGAAGAACAATTAACTAGTGGAACAACTTGAAGTTGTATTATGCTCCAACACTGGAGGTTTTTAAGAAGAGATTGGATAACCAATTTGTCTGAAATGGTATAGGGTTTCCTGCCTAAGCAGGGGGTTGGACTAGAAGACCTCCAAGGTCCTTTCCAACTCTGTTATTCTATTCTATTCTAGTTGCCAAGATTGGAAAACACTGATCTGGACTCTTTGGGGTCACCCCAGAAAACAGATTGAGTACCTAGGTGAAAAAAACACACGAAATTTTGGGCTTTTTGCTGGCAGTGAACGTTTTACTTCAAAGCAACCAACCTCTCCATCCTGTCAAAAAAATTGGACCCAAGCCACCCATTGTGCAGTCTGGAAGGTTTTGCAACTGCCTGGCCACAGGGGGAAAAAAAAACCCACAGCGATGTATTCAAATGGATCACATATTACCTTTTACCCCATGCGTGCAGGTGGGAGCGGCAGGCAAACGGAACAGCTCGAGGCCGAAAGGCGAACAACATTAATCTGGCCAATTGAGCAGCTTGCCGGAGTATTGTTTTGCCAGAGGCGAAGGTTTAAAGTTGGTCACAAGGGCATGTTTGTTCAACCAGAGGAAGGAGGAAGTAGCAGCCCAGCTGGCCTGAACGTTTTTGGCTTCCCACAAAGATCGAAAAGCGTAGCCAGTTTCTGCAACATATGAAAGAATTTTTTTTCTTTTTTTAGAATTCTTTATTGGCCAAGTGTGGTTGGACGCACAAGGAATTGGGTCTCCGGTGTGCAGGAGCTCTCAAGTGTACATACAAGCAACAAGTGACAAATCATCATCATCAAATGCATTCGTCATACATCATAAGATACAACCAGTGATAAGAGTCATAGGATGCTAAATAAGCAATCGACATTAATCATACCAGTGATTTTTGCGGGAGGGCAGGCTTCAATAGATGGTTGGGCAATGCTGACGCATCTTGGTTTCTCCGTTCCTAGACCAGGAGGGCTCTCCTCGCAATCCTCACTCTTGTCTGGATGACTATCATGTGACTCAGGATGATGGGGATGCTCTATTTGGCAGCCACCGCTGGTCTAGAACACAGCACCCCCAAGAACTTATGGGCACCCCTCAATGTTTAACAGTCGTACGGATCAGAGACCCTGGGAAAATCCCCCTCCCCATTTTCCTACCAATCGATCATTCTTTATTTGGGATCGCAGGATACCGTCTCCAGCTCCATTCTCAGGGGGAGAGAGAGAGAGAGAGAGAGAGAGACTTTTGGCTTCATGCAAGGAAAACAGCAGAAGTCTTGCTTTTGATTCCCAATTAAAGGATCACACAAAGCGCTAGGGAGATGTTCGCTTTTTACAAACCCCGTTAAGCCCTCTCTAGTACAGGTATTCGGTTTACAACAGTTTGTTTAGTGGCCATTTAAAGGCACTGAAAAAAAATGTGACTTAGGACCGTTTTTCATCGCTACGATGTTCGCAGCACCCCCGTAGTCATGTGATCCAAATTCAGACAATTGCCAACGGGTTCACCCTTATGACCGTTGCTGTCTCCCAAAGTGCTGTGATCCCATTTTGCAACCTTCTGGCAAGCAAAGTCAATGGGAAACCAGATTCCCTTAACAACCGTGTTACTAATTGAACACTGTTGTGGTTCATCTCACATAGCAACAGAAATTTTGGGCTTAATTGTGGTCATAAGTTGAGGACTACCTGTAACTGAAAACTCAGCTGAAACCTCAGTGGTTCAACCTGAACTGAGAAAACTGCTCATTTTCCCACTGTATATTTTAACACCGTCTTTCAAAACATACAGGATACGATAAAAAACAAATCGAGACAGAAGACTAAAGTTGTGAGAGTTTATTGCATATGTAACAAAAATGGACATGACCTTCCCGGGCCCACCCTACTACACAATCACTGTTTATTCCAGCCGGCTCCATAACACATTAAATAGAACTAGCATTTATTTTAAATACTTTGATTTAGACATAAAATGGAAAACAAAAAACACATTAGTGTACAACTTTTTTTTTTACAAAATAAAATCTGCAATATAAACGGTGAGAAGAGTAACAAGGGTAGCAGCAATATTTAAAAACCCAAGACATTACAAAAGAATAAGTTAAAAAAACACATTATAAAGTGGTTAAAGAATGGATAACCAAAAAAAAAAAAAAAAGTTACTGAGGGAGAAAAAACAAACAAACCAGAGACTTATAACTGCATTTCTGGAAAACTTCCTGTGCCCTACAGTGCAGAAATACTGGGCTGTGGTTGAGAAAGGGAGAGGATTTTAAAACAAATTGCTGAGGCCTGAGAACTCATGTTAAAGCAAGCAATCCCTTTAAAGCAGCGGCGTCCAACCCTGGCAACTTCGAAGACCTGTGGACTTCAACTTCCAGAATTCCAGTTCCATGCATGGCTGACTGGGGAATTCTGGGAGTTGAAGTTCACGGGTCTTCGACGTTGCCGAGGTTGGACATCTCTGCTTTAAACAAACAGAAAATTGGTCCAATTTTGAGTGGGAGCGAGTCCCGTCTTTCCAATTCCTAACACTGAGCAAGTGCTGATTTCCTGCATCCCTGGGAGCGCATCAAGGCAGATGAGGCATTTGGGGGCAAGTAAACAAACAAACCAAAACTACAGAGGGGTGGGAGGGAGATTTGCATCGCTGGACCAGGCGCAGCTTATCTCTGGCTACCGGGATGCTGAAGGTCACTTCAAGAGGCTCCGGATGAGAGAATCCGACGAGAAATTGGACCTTTGCCTTTCCCGCTGAAGTGGCATCGCAGCTAAACGCCAGGTTCCTATCTCCTCGCAGAAATGCTGCAAATGCTTAACAGAGGGAAGACTGCGGGCAGGCGTTTCATGCTCCACCCTTACGTAAGCTTTACTCATGGTTTTCAAGGACTTCTGCAGACCTGCTCCAGTTGATGCTCGTGATGGAGGAGAGCAACTCAGCCTTCGTGTTGGTGGATTCTGTCCTAATCCTTGAGCTGTCCCAAAGCTTTCAGCCTAGCTGAGGTTCAGAAAATTCTCACCTGCCCATTGTTTGTTTGTTTGTTTTTAGTTTCTTTGATGGGGGAGGCTAGGTGACATGCTCACCTGGGGCACAAGCCAAAGGCCCTCCAAGCCCCTTGCTCCTCCCCTAGTCACACCTAGCTTGCTTTCTGATCCTGCCTGAAGACCTCAACAGACAGACCAGCTGCACTTTCTTAGCTGGTGAACGGTAGAAGGCAACTGGAGGAGGTGAGCAAAATTAAGAGAGCTTTCTTCCTCAGCCCAGTTACCTTCAGAGAGAACCCGTTCTGCACCCTGCCACCTTTCCAGGGCAGCCGGTCTCCAACCTTGGCCACTTTGAAGACGGGTGGACTCCCACTCCCACAATTCCTCAGCCAATTCTGGGAGGGGAAGACCACACGTCTTAAAAGCAGCCCAGGTGGAAGGCCCCTGCCCCAAAGCTACCTTCGATGCTCTATGCAGTCTGCCACAGGCTGCCTTTTGCATTTCAAGTTGCTTGACCTGTTTGTGGGTCCTCGATTTTGGACGTGGCTGAAGAGCCACGATATGAGACAAGAACGATGCAAGAATTCAGCCTATAAATGCCACGGAAGTATCTCTGTGGCCAGCCTATTTTAATGCGTGGCTCGAGGAGAATTGCTTACCACACTTAAAACGCTGTTCAATAACTGGGAAACAGACTGTGCAAATAATTTTAGTGGGAGCAGAATTCACACCTTTATGATTCTTTAGAGGCTTAAAATTCCAGTGGTAGGGTCGATCAAGATCCCCACAAAATATACAGTATAATCTTCAAGAGCCCTTGGAAAAGCAGCGATGGTGGTAGATTTCTATTGTCCAGAAGTTTGTTAAGGTCCTTCCAAGATCTGAAAAAGGCCCCATGACCTGATCCCCTCCCAGATTATCCGCAATGCATTTCAGTGGCCTCTTTAAGTGCAAATGAATCCCGGAAGGACATTGCGGGTCAGTTGTTAAGTCAACCACAAAACCCAATCGTTTCACCACACGGTGCAAATATCACAAAGGTAGATTTGCCTTCTCACATGGAATCCTTAAGTTTTCCGTCGCCAAGGGTTACAGTCAACTGAATAAACAGGAAGAAAAACAATCCGGGGAGCTGGACAAGTTCGCTAATTTTGGTTTGTCCTATCACAGTTTAAAGCTATTCTCAACTGGTTGTATAAGTGACGATAGAAATATCCTCGTTGACAGACAGAAACAAACAGAAACAAGCCCACATCAACATGACCCACGTATGAAGTTCGACACCTTGTTAATATGCTTCTTTGCAAAAGGAGGAGGAAGGAAAACTCTCACAAAGTGTCAAGGTTACACTTGATGATTAGTGGAATTTCTGACCCCGAAAAGTGTTATCTTGTTAACAATTACCGGCCTTCTTCATTTGTGCAAATTAAAAAGAAGCATTTGGACAGAGGGAATTCTTACCATTCGGGTTCTTCCTTGCCCTGGAAGTCGCCTGGAGGGCAAACAAATTGGTATCAACTGGGAAAATTGGCTAAATTGTGTTGCGGGACTGGGGGAAATGAAAAGAAAAAAAGACAGAAGCTGGAAACAGTGGTTTGGGTGACTCAGTCTCTATAGGCTGAGGCTTGCATTAGAGCTCTTTTCACGAGAGCCGTTCTATATTCCAGACGGTTTCAGAAATGGAACTGGATTCCGTTTATCTTTGCTGTAAGCTATTTCCTGTGGAAAGAATTTCGGCCGTTTCACATCACAATGAAAGCATTTCAGAAAACAGAGAGAGGGAAATAAAAAGGAGGGATATGTGGTTTCTCTTGAGAATCTGAGCCGTGCCCTGCTTTCCCTTTAGCAGAGGCCAGGGATGATGAAAAGAAAAACGGACAATTATTCCAAAGAATGAATCTATCTCCAATGCAAAATGTCCCCGCAAAAGGAGAAGAGAAACTCACATCATTCAAGATGGCTTGATTCTCCTGAATTGTTCCTCTTACGAGCCAAGTCATCTCATTCACAGAAGACCAAAAGAGCTTCCTGACAAGGAATAGTAACCCCCAGTTTTCCTATGCTTACGGAGCTGCGCGCTCCGCTAGGTGTTCCTTAAATGGGGTCTCCTTGAAATGTGCCAGTAGGAATTCCAGTGCCAATCTTTCTTTTTTTCCTTTTAAATCTCCAGAGCTTCTGGATTCTACAAGGGTTCAGGGCTGCGTCGAAGACAAACATCCACAGACACCTACCGACCAAACTCCTCGGCAAACCAATGGCAAAGATACTCAACTACAGTTTGAATCTCCTATAAAAAAAGACCACAGGTCGTAGACCCTTATCACAATATGTGTTACAAATCTAGCAGAATTATCGCGGGTAACCAAAACCAAAACGTTGAACCTGGCTGCCTGGTTTTGTGTGTGTGTGTGTTTGTGCGTGTGTATGGTTTTGTTGTTGCTGTTTTCCTGGGAAATGAAGAAAAGAAAAGGGAGGGTTTATTGTCACAAGAGGGAGAAAGTATGTTTGGGAACCTCCAAAAATAAAAAGCCTCCCTCTTCGCCGACGCCGTCGAAGGAAGGGGAAAAACAGCCTTTGCACCCCTAAGTTGTCAAGCAAATCCCAACACTTTGGACAAAAAAAAAGAACAGAAGTTCACAGCAAGCTTCTCCTTACAGCTTTTTGATTTTGGTGGTCCATGAGCTTTAGCAATATGGGTTTCCTTTGGTTGCCTGGTCACTCCACCGCAAAGCCACAGGTCTCTTCCACAGCGGTCACTAGCTTTTCATAAAGCTTCTCATAGGACTCGTAAGGCGGAATGTCAATTCGGTTAAAGCTGCAGGAGGTTAGAAAACACAGGGGGAGAGAGGCTTTTGTTACTTTATCTACTAAACTTATACACAGGCAGTCCTCAGCTTACAGCAAGTTCATTTAGGGACCGTTCAACGGCACTGAAAAAAGTGACTTATGACTGTTTTTTTTTTCACAGCTACCACCTTTGCAGCATGTGATCCAAATTCAGAGACTTGGTGATTGGTTCAGATTTATGACGGTTGCGGGATCCCAAGGTCACACGATCAACTTTTGGCGACCTTCTGGGGAAGCCAGATTCGCTTAACAACCGGGTTACCAACTTATCAATGGCAGCGATTCACTTAACAACCGCGGCAAGCAAGGTGGTAAAATGGGGCAAAACTCGATTGTTTCACTTAAAGCACAGAAATTTGGGGGCTTTTAATCGTGGCCGTTAAGTTGAGGACTCCCTATAACAGCCGACTTGCTACTGGAGATATAAACATAGCTAAGCCTCCTCTGCCCACGTGCAGAGAATAAACTGGCTTCAGGGTCACGCTAAAGAAGGTTAACCTGGAGAGGCTCCACGCCTGGTTTCCTTGCGCACAAGAGTTTACAACTTCACGGGGCAGAAATAAAGCACATTTTCACAGCCCGCCCTGTTTTGCAAACACGCTGAAGGACTTACCAAGTATGAGCTTTTGGGAGGTTGTCTGTGTTGGCATCTATCAAGTGGATGGTGAACAGCCTGGGTCCTGCCGCGCCTGTAGAACCTTGCAAATAGACATTCTAGTTAAGGCCCTTCAAAAGCCTGGCTATGTTATCATGCTGCCCTGACCTCTGGTAACCTCCGATGTCAACCAAGCAGGGAATCAGGGCTCCTGCTTGAGGGGTGTGGACACACCTGGCACAGGATGCCAGGTGCTAGGAAGAGCTCCTTCCCAAGGCTGCCCTCTTTTGGCCCCAGATTCTGGAAAGCAACTGCTTCTCAGAAGAGGCCAGAGCTGTTCAGGCAGAAGCCCGGAAATACCAGGGATCTCAAAGCTTTGGTTGCCAAACTGTCGTTTTCACCCAAGGCAGAGATGTTAATCGATAAGGAGTTGCTGCGTTAACTAGGTTCGTTCAGGGTTTTGTCCTCATTCACCCCACCTTTTTGTTGCAATTCTGCTTTGTTTTGTTTTTTTTAAAAGAGACCCCTCCAGTACAATGTCCGTCTCTGACCTTTTGCCCCCCAAACAGGCCAATTGTGGCTTCATTCCGTGTTAAGGCAGCTTGATTTATGTCCAAAGGGAAGTCATGCCTTTTTCCAATGGAGGGTCGGGTGGGGCAGTCAGAAAGGAGATGGGGGGAGGGGAGGCCAATTGACTGGCATGGAAAAGCAGCCCCCCCCTCCTTCCAAGCTGCCTCTGGCCCAAGTCTGCCAACTCAGCCCCCCAATCAGTCACCTTGCAAAGCTTTGAAACCCTGAAGGGGGACCCGCGTGGAGCCTGTCACAAACTGGAGCAGCCGTGCTCTCCTTTCCTCGTCGAAGGCCTCCACCGCTTGCCAGAACCACTTGACGATGTTGCTGTCAGCCATGCAGTGCTTCAGGCGAGTGTTGGATTTCCAATCGTTCAGATCAATCTTATCGAGGCCACCAATGATGAGCTGGGAACGAGAAAGGCCCTTTTTAAGCACATGGGATGGTATATTTACACTTATTTACATTCATATTTACCCTGACTGCTGGGCTGCAGACAGCTTTTTCAACAGATATTCCATATTTCCATCATCATGTTTTTTTAAAACAATAATGACAAAATAATTTGCTATGGGCTTTGCTAGTTAGATTGATTAACCGCTGCATATTGGGCAATAGATGTTTAAAGAGCAGCGATGGTGCACTGGTTAGAGTGCAGTACTGCAGGCTACTTCTGCTGACTGCCGGCTGCCTGCAATTTGCCAGTTCGAATCTCACCAGGCTCAAGGTTGACTCAGCCTTCCGTCCTTCCGAGATGGGTAAAAGGAGGACCAGATTGTTGTGGGGGGAAAAGGCTGATTCTGTAAACTGCTTAAAGAGGCTTGTAAAGGCCCGTGAAGCAGTATATAAGTCTTAAGTGCTATTCCTATTGCTAGTCAGCTGAGTTCCCACACAATTTTCAGGCAGTCTGCAAACTGCTCTCTACCTTGGCAACAAAAGATCTGTGAACTTCACCTCCCAGAATTCTTCAGTCAACCTGTATGGACTTCGATGCCCAGAATTCCCAAGCCAGAAACTGCTTTCATGGGCTATTCTGACAGCTCTGATAACTATTTTACTCTTAAAGTCACACATCATATGCTTTGGAAAAAAAAAATCTTAGGAAATTGACCCAGCATGAACAAAAGTACAACTGTTGCTTCAGCGCTTTCTAGATGGAAACACTGTACCTGGATTTCGATTCTGCATACTCCCTCGTTCTCCTTAGCATTTTAGCAGACCATAAAAGGCAGAATATATTTTCCCCTCCCCATGAGTTTTACTATAGAAACTGCTCCAAATTTAAGTTTGCCAAGTCAAGGCCTCCAAGTTAAGAAGTCCTTCAAAATTAAACTTTCTGGGCATTGTTTCTCATCGTTGGACAGAATTCTACCTTAACACATCAATTCAGAACAAGAAAAATATATGTAGAACTCTTTTCACTTCTGAGGCTACATGAACAGCAGCAAGAGCTAGTATGAAATATACAACCGATACCTCAAGTTCCTTATGGTCAAAAGGCTTCAGGAGGTGTTGAGGAATAAGTTCATTAAAACCTTTTTGAAGGGCCAGGAATTGGGCTTCAATTCCTCTCATGAACCGCCAGTTTACATACAGCCTGGGAAAAGCAGACAGATAAATCTCAGAGTTGCTGCAGAATCACTACTGGAATGGAAAGAATTTTGCACATAGATATAAAACCTGCACACGCCCCCAGAAGAAGTCATAGGCTGTCTAAAGAAATAAACCAAATCTCTTTTGAGGAAAGTTCCAACCCTGGTGACTTCACAGACATGTCCAGATGGTATTCTTGTTAGCATAAAAAACAGCCTCTTCTCGGAGATGGTCCAAGTTCTATTGAGTCTACAACTCTGATTTTCTGGTCTACCTTACAAACATTGGCCATGGATTACTCTATCACCATAGTGTTACAACAGAAGTAGTCCTGATTACAGGTAGTCCTCGGCTTACAACAGTTCATTTTGTGACTGTTCAAAGTTACAACAGCACTGAAAAAGGGACATGACCCTTTATCACAACCATTGCAGCATCCCTGTGATCAAAATCCAGACCCTTGACAACTGACTCATACTTATGACGGTTGCAGTGTTCCTGGGGTCATGCGATCCCCCTTTTGCGACCTTCTAACAAGCAGAGTCAATAGGGGAAGGCAGATTCACTTAATAACCATGTGACCAATAGAATAGAATGGAATAAGAATAGAAATAGAAGTTGGAAGGGACCTTGGAGGTCTTCTAGTCCAACCCCCTGCTTAGTCTAATTTAACCACTGCAGTGATTCAGTTAACAATTGTGGCAAGAACGCTCGTAAAATGGGGCAAAATTCACGTAGCAAATGTCTCATTTAGCAACAGATTTTGGTCTCAACTGTGGTCGTAAGTTGAGAACTACCTGCACTTGGTAGCGGTATCTGCCTTGTTGGGCTGACGGGGGGCAAAATTAGCTTTCCCTGAGGGTACCTGACATATTCTTTCTTGTTCTCCTCCGTCACGGAAACATTTCTCCCGTTCGGTTTGAGTTCGTGCTGCAGAATTCTGCCAAAAGCATTGTGTTCCACGCAGAAGGTGTGGTCCAGAACTGGAGTGATGTCGTTCTCTCTGTCAACAAGAATGCAATGGCTACAAGTCATTTCTGCAAGTGAAAGGGGTTTTTTTTTATTGTTATTATTTAGCCAGACCTATTGAAACACGTAATTTTAAGAGCAGAGCTCTCTGTGGCTGATCCACGCTTTAGTGCAGTTTTTAATATTCCTCCTTGCAGAGGAAAAAAAAAACAACCTCTGGTGCTATTTTTGATGATGATACTTTATTATGTAAAGAAAAGTTAGTTTTATAACTGCATGCAGGAATATTACTATGCAACTGAAACATAGGGAATGCAAAATTTTAAAAAAGGTATTTTCTAATCAAATTCTGTCCCCAAAGATATTCCTTTGATGCACTGCTGGTTGACTTCCAGAAATTTAAAATACTTTCTCATGCCTATTATGAGGCTGAAGATTAATTTAGTAATTACAAGCAAGCCAAATCAACTCAGAATCAGAATTCAGCTGAACAGGTTTCTAATGAAATATGATTACTTTTTCCTGTGGAATAGTTATCCAGAAGTTTTACTGCTAATTGTTTATAAAAGTAATTCCAGTTTTTTTTTTCTGGGTATTTTGGGAAGTTCTAAAGTATCCAGCCTGCCAAAAGCAGCTTTAAAATGTACGTAAGCACCAGTGATTGAGGTCAGAAAATCTTTTTCTTTGGAGCTGGTCCTCCTAGTCCAATCAAAATATTATAGATTACTGGACGGAATACTTACAAAATCCAGACTAAGCTCTTATGTAGCTCTGGATCCACCGATTCCAAATCAGACAACTGGATGGGTTTGCCCAGCAGCTGTTTGTAGAAAGGGACCGTGAAACCCCCGTTGATGTAATGCCCGTGGAACACTGCCAGACCCATTATCCGACCGACAAAGTGGAAATAAGAGAGATGATCCTGAAAGATATGCCAACCACCAAGAATGTCATTCCCTGCAAGAGATGCCAGCGCCAGCTATCTTAGCTGCCTTTTGCTAGAAATTAGTTGGTGTGATGGAAACGTTGTCTCATTATTTCAAATCCTCTGGTTGAGAAGCATCAATACGTCTCTCGAATCTAATATTTATGCTTTTCCAATCAGCACAATTATGGGTTTTTTTTTTTAATGCTGTAAGTAGACTTGAGTTTCTCAACCTCAGCAACATTTAAGATGGACTTTGACTCCCAGAATTCCCCAGCATAGCTTGCCATAGCTGGCTGGGGAATTCTGGGAGTCGAAGTCAACACATCTTTAAATGGCCGAGGTTAAGAGATTCTGAAACAGATTTTCACTCATCAGCTGCTTATAAGAAGCCGGAACAATCATTTTGTCTCACTGAATATGCACCCAGCGTATTTTTATTTCTATAACTAATTCCCTGCCCCTGGGGCTTGTCGGCTGCAGGTGTTTTGCCAGGAGCAGAGGGATTACTCTTAAATGCCAAGTTCAGAGAGACTGTAGTTACTGCTGGAGGGCAAACTCAAGCAAAGCAAACTGAACAGTTAAAGAGAGGCGCTCCTTGGGAAAATAACAGTGCCGGGAATTCTCTAACCCAAGTGTTTCTCAACCATGGCGACTTTAAGGTTGGTGGACTTCAATTCCCAAAGCTCTGCTGGCTGGGGAATCCTGGAAGTTGAAGCCCAGAAAGCCATCAAGGTTGGGAAACGCTGCACTAACCCATTTCTATGCAGAACTTCACCTCTCCCGAACCCTTCACACGTGAGGCCAACCCCTGACTATACCCGGTCCTTATTTGGGGTGTTTTCATTTTTTTGCACTTCTTGAATGCACGTGGTTTCTTGAAGATGTCAAATAGCAACCTTCTTGCACAGAGATTATGTCCTTTGGGGGGAAATAATAATAGACAAATAAGGGAATGACTTTGTGATTAAAATACAGAATGGCATCTTTATTGCTTGGGTTAATGTTTACTCCATGCCAAAGCCTTTTCAAGAAGGGTGTACTTGAGCTGTTGCTTTAATTGCAAGAGCTCCAGGTAGCATATTTAGCAAGCCCTCTCTGAATTTTAACTCAACCACAGCCCTGCAAGGTAGGATAATCTAGGAGAGCGGCTTGTGCAAAAAATCTTTTGCTACAGACGGCCTTGTGCTTCGATCCCTCCAATTCAAGGGACTAAACCACTGTGTTTTACCAGTACCACCGCGATCTTGAAGGGTTTCTTTTCAAATGACTTAAATTTAGGATTGGATGGAGCCCCATCCAACCCACTGTTAGATAGTAACCTAATCTATATACACAGTGAACTGTTAGTGCGTGCCCATGTTGGTTTGAAGAGATGAATTCCAAGGAGCTACATAGGCAATTAATATTTAGTGGGACATTTTTCAAACAGGGGTGGGCAACCTATAGCAATCACCAGGTTCTTCCCTCCAACCATTTCATGCAGCTTCTCTATGGTCGCTGTTCATTATGAAACCTTGGAGGGGGAGGTGAGAGGATTGGGGAAGGGGGGGGGGAGGAGAGGAATTGCTTTCTCTTTAACACAGATAGCCTGGAGCAGCTGAGACAGTTATTATAACTAATTATTTTGGGTTGCTACACCATCCTCAGACACTTCTGGGTGCTTCCTGCGATGCTTTTAACCACAAGCTGTAAGTCGGGGCTGAGTCATAGTTCCATGCTGGACTTTTGTGACAGCAAAGGAAGCCCCTCCCCTCCCATGGAGAAAATGTCTCTTTTTACCTCCTTTAGGATTAAAACTCGGGATTCCCCCCCCCACTCTTTCTCCTCTTCTTGCCAGGTTGCCTTTCCCAGACCTTCCACTCTTCGACACGGGCAGAGAAAAGCTAGGCTCGCTTTCTGATTCTACTCCCCACCTTCTCCAACATGCGCAGGCTATGCCTGGCTCCCTGACCTGGATCAACTCTGCCGGAGAGGCCACCCGGGAGCCCAAAGATGGAAAGGAATTGGGAAGGACAAGCGGCTGCCCAGGCAACCCTTTCAAATTTCAGAGGAAACCAATCCGTGAGCTGGCAATTCCACTCACACCCGACAGCTCTGGGGCTGGCACCCGAGGGTATTAATAGGGATGATACTGGCCAATGTCAGAGGAAGAAGGCGAAAGGGAAAAAGAAAGGGATTTGTGAAGGGAGCAGCAAGGACAGCCACAAGGCCAACTCTTATCTAGGGAAAAAGGGAGGACAGGGCGGGAATAGCCAGGCAACATTCGGCTCTGAGTCATGACCCCGCTTCGGCCACACCCACTTTTTTGTCCCAGCTGATTGCAAAGGTCAAGGGTCATCATGACCCTCCCCAACATTGCCCACTCCTGCCTTCATGGAAGCAAGTTCAGGCTACACCAATTAGTCCATTAGAAGCAAGTTAGTTCAGCTTTGAGCCCTATTTCGTGTGCGCTTACCTTCCATGGTCTATGGGGATTCGACTGAAAAATAGACAGTGATCGGTTCGCAGATTGTACAGAAAACCAAATAAGGAAGGAAAAATATTTCACTTTGGCCTCCCAGTACTGAATTTGTGTGGAAAAATCAGAGCAGGATGCCTTAGCTTGCCCTAATGCAGCGGACTGCGCCTGCATGCAGCAGCAGCTCAGAGAGGTGGCAGCTGTGCACATGTTACAGGGGGAGCCACCCAGATTTCAATAATTGCACAGAGTTTATGGCTCAAGTGCAAAGGGCTACTCAGAAGCACTCAAGTGGCTGCTGCCGGGTCAGGGAAAGGAGCGAGGGATTGCTAGACTGGCTGGGAAACTGTTACAAAACGTGGAAAATGAAGATCATGTGACTGCAGCAGCCGCCCAGCAGAAACTAGTAGCACTGAAGCAACCACAATTTCCAGAAATTTTATTCCCTTGGGAGTCCTGTGTACCAGATTTGGGGTGCATTCTGTAAGTTAGCCCACTTCAGGTACCTGGGTTCAAAAACTGTTGCCCCATGATGCACCATCTTGCCCAGGTAGAAAGTTTTAGTTTTTACATAGTTTTAATTAAGTGCTGTACGCCATCCAGAATCACTTTTCATGAGATCGGCAGCCACGCAAATTTGACAAAATAAATAATATCCTGTGGAAATCTAAAGCCAAATGAGCTGACAGCTGAAGTTTATCTTATATATTTCCCCTGGTTTCAGAGACAGTTGCCCCTTCTAACGTTCATCTTCAAAGAACACACATAGATCCTTGGCTTTTAAGAGTACTTACAGGGTTGATGGAGGAATCAGGATTTATTTGCAGCGTGTAAATGTTATCAGTCGAATACTGGAAAAGCCCGTAATACGGATTCAGCATTTCGTGGCATAGAAGGTACAGCCATTCCCTGCCAGATGTAATTTTCAACAATATTAGAAATGGGGGTTGGGGCTGGGTGAGAAATGAAAGTAAAAGTTTATTCCACTTCAGAAATTGGATTAGTTCCCAAGGTGGTTTATGACTGTCTTTTAAGCTCAGCTTCTTTAAGATGGCTGGACCAGGGCAATTTTAGGAGCTGAGGTCCATGGATCTTAAAAATTGCTGAGGTTGAGAAATGCTGGTTTATGAGACAGCATAAGACGCTTTGGAAAAAGGCTGACTCCAGCAACCAAGATTTGCCAACATTTAAGAAAAACATTGTGGAGCTGAGTCCAATCACAACGGCTTTTCTGGATCCTCCTTGCTCTGTTAAAGGAAGGCATTCAACAGGAAACAGAATAAAAACAGACAATAGAAGGTTTGGGAGTTTTTTTTGTTTTTTTTAAAGAACTGCGAAGATTTCTTTTTCTGGGAAGACTGTACCCAATGAGCTGAATGCCTGAGATAACAGGTATTTAATTGCATAATGGGGATCTTCTGCCTACCCTGCCCCCAAACCAAATGGGAGACATCTGGTTAAGGCACATTAGGGGAATCGGCATCCGTCTAGACGGCATTAAAGTGCAGACGAGATAAAGAGCTGCTGAAACTCCCCACAAGATAGAGGTGATGACAAGGGAGAGGTCAAAGGCAGAGAACTCCCAGACTACAGAACAAAATGAGAGAACAGTTATCAACAGACAAAACAACCCTCAAAAAGGGTTTTTTTTTTAAAGCAACAATTTAGATGCTGATGGATTCAGCTGCCTCGGGAAATGAGTGCTCAAAAGACAAGGAGAGCAATCAGCATTACAAGAGGATGCCAGGATGAAATACAGCGGGTAATCTCAGGTGAGAACTACCCAGGTTAGGTGGAACAGAAGGACCTTTTTCCCAAAACAAGTTAGAAAGTTTGACTTGCCTAAGCGTATTAGAGGCAAAGTGGTCTACAGCAGCACATTTCACATTTCAAAATTTGGTAAAAAGGAAGGTGCTTTCTTTATGTGTAGCCCACTGAACAGACTCAAATGTAGAGTCAGCTTTGGTTTCTTTAAGCATGATTCTTATTGTGGGACCCTCGGTGCTCTCTGAGCTTGGTTGTTTTCTTGCAGACGTTTCATTGCCCAGCTAGGCGACGTTATCAGTGCTAGGCTTTGTTTACATAGGTTTGTTTATATAGGAAGCACCTATATAAGGGCCCACCAAGAACAACCACACGGGATATTTCCACCAACCCTGACAGGGCAAGCTAACAGTATCTAAATGGAGAGTGACAGCCCCTTTAAAAATGCTAAAAGCTCTTTTAGGATTCTGGCCCTTACCTTGCCACTCCACCATAATCTAAGCCTTCCTCTCCCCGAAATTTCACCATCAGCCTTTTCTTCAGATCTTTCGGCCTCATCTTCATTATCTGACGGTAAGATTCCTACGTACAGAAAGAGAAGCCGGTTTTTAAAAAAGCAATTACTTTACCAAAAGCAGCTGAACTTCTCACATCTCTTTCCAAACCAATATTAGAGACAAAATGGGAATCTTTTGGCTGTTTCTTATCTAAACGTGGGAAAGTTGCACGATGTAAAACTGCAGTTTTATGAGCCGAATGGATGTTCTCAGCTATTAAGAGGTGGCACTGCAGTTAGTGCCCTGGTCTACTGGAAAGGCAGATCATCAATAAGAAGAAAACACCAAGCACAGGGTAGGCTTCGGCTTACAGCCACAACTAGGATCAAAATTTTTGTGGCTAAACAAAGCAGCTGGTAAGTTTGTGGCAAGCCAATTTTATCACCTCCTTTTGACACAGCCGTTAAGCGAATCATTGCGGTTGTTAAGTGAACCATGTGGTCGTTAAGCAAACCCAGCTTCCCCCACCCCCCCACCCCAGTGATTTTGCTTAGCGAACGTCGGCTGGGAAAGCCCCAAATGATTGTCACACGGCCCCAGAATGCTTCAAGCATGGAAAATACACACCGGTTGCCACATTTGGATCGTTAAGATGGTGGGGGATGCCGCACGAGTTGTATCTGTAGAGGCCAGTCGTCAGTTCATTTTGTTTCCCAGGGCCGATGCAATTTCAAACGGCCGCTAAAGGAACGGTTGAAAGTCGAGGACTGCCTGTCTCAAATTCACCTGTTTCTAGCTGGTACCCGAATCGCATCTAGGCCCGGCAGGACCAATCTGCGTTTTACGCAGGCAGATGAAATCCAGATCCTCTTCACCCAGGTTCCTGTTTACATACCTCGAATATTTCTTCCCTCGACACTTCGATGCGGCAGTGGCCAGCCTGGGGCTGCTGGAGGGAGAGTTCGTGCCGGAGGAACTTGAGCTTCTGCACCAAGTCTCGTTCGTATCTCTGAGCAGGCAGCTCCTCGCTGTCTTCCAACGAGCCCTCGTTTGGTGCTTGCAAAGGCTGGTTGGATTCTTTTAGTTGGCATTGGTGACTTAGGGGGGGAAAGGAAAGGGAGAGCGCGCGTGACTTCCAAAAAACAGCAGCAGAAAAAAGAAGAGCGAGGCTACGGGGGGTCTGTTGATTTATTTAAAGAAGGTGCATGGCCGTCCCTCTATCGGAAAACCACCGTGAAACACAAGCCAAACCCGGGGGCCTCAATCATCCTTCCGGGATGCCCCACAATCAACTCCAGACATTCACACTGTACCCAGAGCCTGGGTAAAAAGGAGAGTTTTGATGGTCTTCTGAAAAGCGAACGTGAGGGAGGAGGGGGCTGCCTGATCGCTGGAGGCAGCCACATAAAATGCATGTTTTTGAGGTCGACTTAGCGGGCAACCTCTCAGGAATATGCCTACCCTACCTGATCTGGAACAACAGGGAGATATTCTGGAGGGGATTCGCCTCCTCCCCCCCCCAAAGAACGTGGTCTCATGCCACATTTAGAAGTGAAAACCAGTGTTCACATGATGGTATGGGGGGGGGGGGAAGAAAGGTTAATTTCTTGATAGCACCAGTCCACGAAAGGCAACACAATCAATTGTTTATTTCTTTGAAGCAAGGTGGCACCTTCTTTTCGGGTTGTTCCTGCAATTCCCCACCAAGTTACTTGCCTTAAAGAATTACACAACCACAGGGATGATCCAGACCGCTATTAAAATTGGGATGACAATGACATATTTCATAGGGGGAGACTGTACCACCTATTAGAACGGGCCTAGTGTCCTGTGTCGTACCTTTTAAAAGGTAATTAATATCTTCTGGAATAAGACTGACTTAGATGGCAGTGTTTGAAATGGGAACAACTTGTCGTAAAAAAGCTTTCAACATACCTTCCGGGTTATTCCTGGTACAACATTTGCTTAATGGCCTCTTGTTTTTAAGGGCTCCCAAGAAGATATTAAAATATTTCCTTATGCAGCCTACTGCTTCACTACCTCCGTATTTTATTTATAAGGTCCTGACAGGACTAACCCTCTGCCCCAAAAACCAAGCAGCAACTGAAACGTGACCTACTTCATTATGTGATGCAGTCTTGGGTCTGTGAACTGGGTGGTTCTGTTATTATGATCTACAAAATATATTCTTCCTGATACTGTACTTCTAACCTCCCAGCCTGGAGGTAGAGGTCCAAGTTCATCACAATTCACACTGTTAAGGTCTCTGCAAAAAGAAAAAGAAAAAAGAAAAGCAAAATGGAGGAGGAATTAAGATTTAAATCAATGCCAGCATTAATTTAAATTATTTGAATGTTGTCTACAGAAAAGAGACGCCATATAAATCTCCAAATCTAAGGATCCAAGGTTTCACTTCCCACAAACATTTAAATGAATTCAAAAGCAGCGACTATACCTACCTTGGTATCCTGGGATCGTGCCAGGTGCTAACCCCAGTTTGTGTATGCAAAAAGTAAACTTGTCCCTGTACTGTTGTCCTTTGCTCTAAAGAGACAGAAAAAAAGAGGTTAATAGAGAAAATGTCCAAATCCCTCACAAAACTTTGTGACTAAAGCCAGACCTAGTAAAACTGAGCTAAAGCTTAAAATGGTCGTTTATTTGCTTCCCTTCCCTTTGTAGGAGAGTTTGTCATTGTTATTAGGTAGGAGAAAGGAACACCAAGAGGTGTATTGCAGTTTCCTCGTTTTTTAAAATTATTTTTGTTTACCGCTCATTCAGAAACCCGGTGCTCTACTAGAGCAACAATACGGTCTGGTTTGTTTGTCACTGGCGTTTTCTTGGGCAGCTGTTTTAGGAGCTGCAAAAGATTTGTGTGGTTCCATCCCAACTACCACTAGAATCTGGTTTTAGTATTGCCTTGCCAACAGACCATGTGAATAGCAATCCAGTTGGCAAAATCCTGATACATTCATTTGAGAAATGCAACACCGACAGTGTTCAACTACCATCTGGCCAGCTCCAGGGGGAAACACCCTCCCACTTATTCTGCCTCTTACACAAAAGCCAATCGCACATCAGTAAACATAAACATCTCGGGAGTAAAACTACAGTGCCAAGTGAAAAATCCCATAAAGAGAAGTCCACAAAACGAGGCAATGCCATTTCTGGGTGTAAAATGGGATATAGAAGTCTCTTCCCCTAACACCCATCCATCTATCCATCTATCCTATCTATCCTATCTATTCTATCTATCCTATCTATCTTATCTATCTATCCATCCATCTCATCTATCTATCCATCCATCTCATCTATCTTTCTTTTTCCTTCCTTCCTTCCTTCCTTCCTTCCTTCATGCCACCTGATTCGCTATGCAAAATGACTCTGGACAGCTTGCAGTGCCATTAAAAATATAAGAACAATTAAAAAGATAAAAGATAATGGAACCACTGGGTCTTGCCTCGAGATTGCCAGGGTAGGGATGGGCATCAACCCTATCCAAACTCACCATAGCCTTCAGGCAGATCCGGTGATGGCGACTGATGGCCGTGGGGCCTATTTTGGGGGGTCTGGACATGGCTTCTTACATCAGGGCCCCGCAATCGCTGGACCTGCAGGTTCTGATCCTGGCCAGGGGTTTCCACGAACCGACAATTCCCTCCACCGGCAGCTCCTGTGCTGTCCGTATATGGGGCTGGCTCTTCCATGTAACAGCTCAGGGGCCTCCCAGGTCCCGAGTCTTCATAAACCGTTCTGAAAGCAGGGAAACTCATTCAGCGAACAGATTTTTGCGCATCCCTAAGGAAGCGTCAGAATAATCGACTTTAAAAGGAAGGGGCCCAGCCTTTCCAAACAGACCTCACTCTCAGGAGCCTATAACCAAGAAAATTACTTTGAAACACAAAACTCATCTGATTCACAACTGCAGACTGCGGGAGTGGGGAGACGTGTGTGCCAAAGACTAAATTTGCATTTATCTCTTCAGTGACCACACTTCCTCCGGTGACTCACTTAATGATGATAAAATGCCCGGGGAAACAATCTTACTTTTTGACCCTTGTTCTTTGCTGCAATTGTTTTGTTTTTTTACCCAATCGCTAAATTTAGCTTTTATTCTTAAACTGATAGAAAAGAATGTTTGTAGGTCAGGGTGGAACTGTGGGGTCCTTGATGCTGTCTGAGACTGGTGGTTTTCTTGCAGATGTTTCATGACCCATCTGGGGAACATCATCAGTGCATGATCACTGATGATGTTACCTAATTTGAAACTTTTATTTATTACGATATTAGTGTATGATGAGAACATGACAGAAGAGAAATGTATATACATAGTCTACATAATTATAACTAAAACGTCTCTGGGGTACGCAGCGGCCTCATAACTGTATGTCCAATTCAGCTTGGCGTTGCTTTGTGCAGATCTTCCACGGGGCCAGAGAACACATTGTGGGACAATGTTGCACAATATGTTTAATAGTTTGCATATCTGCACCACAATCACAACAAGGGGAATCTTTCCATCCCCACTGATGCAGGGAAGAGCACTTAATTCTGTTCAATTTCGACCAGATAAAGTGAGGCGGTTTGGAAATGAAAGGTCTGCAAGAAGACACCCGAGCCCAGAGAGCACCAAGGACCCCACAAATGGATCGGAAGACAGGATACCTACCCTTCATTCTCCAAGAGCCCCCTGCAGTCTACCACAGACCCTCCTGTGCCTATCCTATCTCGGGTCTGCAGGCTGACTGGAAAGAGAAAAAGAGAAGCAAACATTCAAAAGTTTCAGTATGCAAATAGAAAACAGTAACTAAAATACAAAAACATTTCTGGGAAGTGGTTTAATTTGACATGGCAAGCCTTTGTACATTTTTTATAGACTCTCAAGTATTTGGCCATGAGCCACGTGCAGAGTTCCTTCCTATGAAGGCAGATCTGAATACTTTGTTGGGATAACTTAAGAGGCAGTGCATTTTCATATTCTAATAATTCAATTAATCTTTAATGACAAAAAGGGGAAAAAAGAAGAATATAGTAAGCCTTCTATTCCTAGTGCCTCCTTAAAATTTCAGGAATTAAGACCACTACCAAAAACAATCAACAAAGCACCCACAGCCCAATAATTTAGACTGCAGTCTGTAAAATACTTTGGCTAAAACACAAAGCCTTCCATATTAACATGCAATTGCAAATTCTTTTCCCTCCAAAGAGCAGGGAGAGCAAATTTGTCACACTAGGGGGCAGTCTAGAAAGGAAAACATTTGTTACCACCTCAATGACACTAAAGGTAAACTTCAATAAAGGTATTCTGCTTGTTATATCTGGAGTTGAACACCACAGCTATATTTTAACTATCTTACCAACTATCTGGCCTCGGACTGCATCAGTGTCTGTGGGATTTAGTTTGCATAGATCCAAACGCTGGTCTGAAACGAACAAAGGGGAGGAAAACATTCAGCCAAAAACATATACAATTGGGAATCGGTGCTCAGAACAGAGACACAAAATATTGCCCAAGCCAACCCAGAAAACATTTGGTAATAAAGACATGCTTACATCCCGTATCTTTTAGTCTGCTGATGGCATTAGAAAGAAGTCGGATGCATCCCAGGAAGCCAGCTCCCTGTTTTTTGTGAATTTTCTTATGGTTCCAGACACTGATGGTGATAGAATCTGATTTCCCAACATATCTAGAATAATCAGATGGAGGGGGGTATTTAACTGAGGTTCATTGTCTGCTATGGTAAAACTTTCCCATTGGTGAGCCCATTTGAATAATGCTTTGGTTAACACTACATCTTTATCACAGAAGAGAAACATGCAACTAATCACTAGAATACTGTAATTTGCACAGCATGTTAAATAGATAACACACAAACATTTGTTGATTGCAGACAACCTTATTATAAGCTACAAAAGTACAGAGCTCATTAGACCTTGGAAAGGGTGCTTTTTCTTAAAACTGGAGTTACTGCATCAAGGCTCATTTTTGCACTATGACTACAGACAAGAGACACCTTCGGTTCGAGGAATGAGGCAAGTTTCCAGAAAAGTGATACAGGCCTCCATTTGTAGAATCCAGAAGTCAGATAAGACAAGATGTTTTTCAACTGAGGGGCTTTCAAAAGTACATGAAGACATAGTCACTTGGACACACCTAAAATAAGTGCCTTGGAGTCTAGCCGATATTTCAACTCCCAAGCCCCAAAATTAAGTCTTGCAAATTATTACACAACATTCTCTAACAAAACATACTAATAATCATCCCCGGGGGAGTGGGCATTGCCTCAATATTACTTTGGATCAGCACTGCTAGTGTAAAGCATTTTAGATGTCCAGTTGTGTAAGAGAGGAGATATAGAAGGATATATTTTATGGATTACTGGGGAACTACTTTCTTAAGTCTATTCAGGAACCTACTTGCATTCACTGTGTTATTCCTCTCTTGCTGTTAAGTTACCTTGGGCCCTGGTTCCTAGGTACAGATTAAGGTTGTGAAGACTTCATGCAAATAAATAGGTCACAAACAATTACTGTGTCTTGGAACCCACCTCAGTGAAATGGGTGGCATAGACATTTAACAAGTACAAGAGGTATGTAAGAAAAATAAATAAAACCGCTTGCTGAGCAGCCAACTTACAAATCATAATGCTGGTTCCATTTGGGATCTAAGGTGTTCTTCACAGTGTCGGTGGAATGACACTGACCAGACCCATCCACCACAATCTTTGCAAAGGGATCAGGAAGCCCTGCAAAGAACCAAGGCAACCCAGTCACCACAAGGACCAATGAAACTAGCAGATGACTACGGAACCACAATGTTTAGTAACTGCTCTTCTTTGTAATTGCGAGAAGAAATGTTAAACAGTTGCTGGGAATACTCTGCCACAGTTTCTTTTACTATGGAAGGGGTAGAACATGGAGTAAAAAACAAAAAAACGTGAGCCAAATAGTCAGATCTCTTTTAGTGGCCCCCGGCTTAGGGCTCTGTTCCAATCTTTAACCTCCCCCTCCCCAAAGACCCCAAACCTAGGGCAATGTTGGAGCCAGTCAACTTTTGCTATGCTGTATATGCCTTGGGTGGCCCTTGATTTAAAAGCTGCATGCCTCTGGAAGACAACACAAATTCCCCATGAAGCTCGATCACTAACTAATTCCATGGTGTGTTATTTTTAAAGTCCCCTGAAATTCTGAAAAATGCAACCTAAGCCTTTTTGGGGTTTCTAACGTACGATCTCCGGCATGTCACGCCAGGCCTGTCCGGGAAAAGAACCTGCACGTCTCTTAATGCAACGGTGATTCCCCGGTTAATTCACTGTGACTTGATCCTGCCATCTCATGAGTGGACATATTTACCATGGCTTATAGCGCCTCACCCGATTTAGAAGGAAGAGAGTGAGCATGTGCAGAAATGTATTTGCTGGCAGCCGCCAGAGTTGAGATCTGCCTTTAAGCAGCTCACAGCAAAAGATCCTGCTCGCTGCTTCCCTGGTCTGGTGAACAGAAGTTTCAGACAGTTATGCTTCCGACTCTCGAAAAACTTTCCTTAAATACCCACAGCAAAAACATACAAGATCAGTAGACATACTAACATCAGTAGCCTAGCTTCAATACACACAAGGGATGGGGGTGGGGAGATATGAAAAAGTATATTTTCAGTTACTTACTGAAGAAATCTTTCTTTGCAAGATTCTTGGCACAAAGCACTGCGAGAAAAAGAAAAAGGTTAGCAGATTCCACTCATATTTCAGCATAAACAGCTCAAGCTGGGAAAAGATTTCTCTTACACACCCCAGGGCATAATTTATAAAAAGCTCAGAGACTCATACAATTGGATTAATAAATAGCAGCGTTATGTTTTGATTATTTTCATGAATTGCACAGCACATATTTTCCTAAACCTGGGCTTTTTTTTGCTAATTTATTTATATGAAGAAACCATGGAAAGTTTGTTCGTTGTACGAGGAACTCTTTTTAAAATTGGCCATTTCTAGGATTTTAAGCATTCATACGAAGTTTGACTTGTGTGATCAAATTAAAGCCTTGTTGAGGTTCAAGCGTTTCCCAGCCAGCTTCGTGGTTTCTTACTAGAGTTTTTAAAAAGTTATTCTTCCAGCAAAAAGACTTGACACTTAGTATTATCACAGAGGTGTTATTATTAACAAAAATGTTTTTGATCGCTAAAAGAAACCAACAATAACATTACAGTTGGGAGCAGAAGAGGCAGACTGAAAATTCAACCAGTTGCCTTTAAACAAAAATATTGTGAAATGCTGAAATTATGAGACTGATTGAAAAGCATTCATGTGGAACCATTCTCAAGGCACAATTTCTTTTATTCATAATCCTATTGTGAGCAATGTTGCAGAAGTAACCATGTCGCACACCTCAAACTTCAACTTCTGAACTGACTCTCTATAAAAGTACCTTTCCTTGTGGGCAATGAACATATCAATAGCCTTAAAACACACACACAGTTTCCCAGGGCAAGCGCTCAATATACAGCTAGTCCTCTACTTAAAACAGTTCATTTAGTGACCGTTCAAACAGTGCTAGTGACTTATGACCATTTTTCACAATTAGGACTGTTGCAGCATTCCCGTGATCATGCCATCAAAGTTCAGATGCTTTGAAAAGCAATGTACTTTTAAACAGTTTGCTAGAATTTAATGACAAATAACTTTGACTTCCAGCATCCATTCATGATAGGAAGTTCAGAGGGCTGTATTTGTGCATGCATGAGCAAGCACATCAATAGAAACATAAAGAACACTTTGAAAGCTAAGACCAAAGGTTTGTTTAATCAGAAAATCCATTCTAGTCCTGGCTCTGTCAAATACACCCACTAGCTGCCAACATCTGGCCTTTAAAAGTGAACCCTGGACATGAAGGGTTCATTTATATAACAAAGTCAATACGAAAGGGCCAAAACAAGCCACCCTCTCCCGATTAGAGGAGTATGACAATAGAGTTTTCAGCTTCATCCGAGTTATCCAAAGAACTTTCTCCATTTTTAATTCAATGAAAACATTCTTTCCTTGACATCTGTAGTTCCATGAAGAAAGAAAAAGACTGGTTGAACAATTAAAGCTATGCCATGTGTCTGAAGGAGAGTTTTAGACAAAAGAATGAGTAACTGAAAGGAATGGTGTCTCCTTCCTGCTTTGCATTAAATTCCACTTTATTTTTTTTCTTCTTCTTCCAAATGAGTTTACTTTTGCTATCATGGTTCAGTTGGGAGGACAAAACGAATTTGACAGGTTTAAGACTGTGGGCTGCATCCCAAACACTGAAATATAACAGAAATTAAAAGTTCTGCATTTAGATAGCAGAAAAGCCCAAGAGATAATGTTTGGTTGGCAGGGGTGCAGTATGAGAGAAGGATAGAGGTGTCCAGCTAGTCGCAAACAGAACAGTATTGCCAGCTGTATGATGCGATCGCAAAATAAGTTCAAGCCATCTTAAGCTGCTTTGACAGAGTAGCTCCATTCTGTAATACAGCATTAGGCTATACGAGCGGAGAACGGTGTCCAGCTCTGGATGAAACATTTTAAGAAAAAGACAGAATGAGCGACACCACTTGCAGATGGATGGGTAGGATAGCAAAAGAGATAGAATTGAAACGTTACGAAAAACAGCTGGCAGAGCTGGCTATATTTAGCTGGGAGAAGAGAAGATTAAGGGCTGACAGAATAGCAGTGAGGAGATGATCCATTCACCTTCGCTGGAGGCATTTAGTAGTAGAGGATCATTAGCTACTCCTTAGTGGTGCTGCCGTCACAATATTCCTATCAGGGGGTTGGGCTGGATGAAATCCAAGGCAACTTTCAATCCTATGATTCTCTGACAGCTGATAGACCACAGAGTGCTAAATCATGAATTGGGAATCGATTATCCCAATATTTTCAATTGCACACAATTAGACGACAACTTTAAATGGAAGCATCTGCTGCCACCATACAGATAGCCTTCGACTTACGATCCAAATTGAGCCCAGAATTTATGTTGCTAAGACAGAAATTTTGTTAAGTGAGTTTTGCCCCACTTTACGACTTTTCTTGCCACATTTGCTAAGTGATTGCATGATTGCCAGACACTGCGACTGTCATAAATATAAGTCAGTTGCCAAGCCTCTGAATTTTAATCACATGAACAACAGGGATGCTGCAATGGTCGTAAGTGTGAAAAATGGTCATAAGTCATTTTTTAGTGCCATCGTAATTCTGAACGGTCACTAAACAAACTGTTCTAAGTCAAGGACTACCTATATCTAGTTTAGCCTCTCAAGTGGCCATAAAGAAAAAAAACAACAGTACTGTATCCTAGTTACCAGATCACATTAAAATAGTCCAGAGCTGGATTTTTTCATCGCTAAAGAATCTGCAATCTCGCATTTTTTTTCTCTTCATTCGATTTTACAGAAATAACACATCTTTGGCAGGAACACCTAAACATAGGAACATTAATTTGACTACTTCATGAGAACTGGTTGTGGTTCAGTCAAAACATAACTGTTATTTCTTTTGTTCATCTCTTATCAACTGCAAGCCAAGAATGAACCAACATACTTCATTTCCTCAAGATAGAATTAAGAGTTTGATTCCTTACAAAAGCAATCTCCAACTGAGTGCCCTCGATATAACCCATACTTCCCAATCAACGTGGATTTTACCTATACATTTTACAAATTGTGAGAACTCCAGAGGGAAGGCTCTTGACAATAATTGGGTGTGCTGTGGGGACCTGTTATAAAGCCATATGCTCATTTTACGAAGCACAAGCTGTTTGGATCAATGGTTTTCGTGTAATACTTGCTACGTACTGATCTCCCAAATTCCCACAACAAAACTAGAATTTGTTTTATGCTCAGAGCAGCCCAAAACACTATGAGTTTTTGCTAATGGGAGCAATCACACCACTCACAAGGTTTGCTTTCATCATAATATAAGCTAGCTGAGAACCACTGCAGGTTAGAGAGCTGGAGATGGGAAAAAAAACAAGTCAAGTAACACTTAACTCAGGTTGCAAAAATTCAATCTCATTCTTCCAGGGAAAGAATTTTTTGATCTTTGCAGTAATGGAAGAGAAGCAAAAGAGACACTGCCATAAGTCAAGATCAATAACTAGGTAGAAAGATGCAAGGTTAGGATGCAGGCAAACCCTGGAGATGGTTCTGATTTTGTGGAAATTTTGGAAATTAAGACTTTCATTAGCTCTAGTGTTGGTCAGCTCCCTGGCAGCTTGCAGGGTTGGACAAGAAGACCTCTAAGGTCCTTTCCAACCCTATTATTTTATGTTTTATGAACTCTGAAGCTCCAGAAAAAAAGAATTTTGGAAAGGCAACCAATATCAACAAGTTATGTAAATAACTTGTCAGGCACAACTGATCATGATAGTTTTTGTTTCTAAGCAAATCACTAGTTTTATTCCAAATGTTGAAATAAACCATCCTCACAATTTAATTCTAAGACACAACAAGACCTATAGGAACATCAGAAACAAATAGCTCAACAGAAAATGCAGATATTTTCTTCTTGCAACAAAAGTAAACATGTATATCATTAGCAGAGCCAGAATGATCAAACCATTTTATCATCCCAAAAGCAGGTCTAAGTAAACAATCTCTTATGTATGCCAAAAAATTTCTTGTTATCAAAGACATCTGGCTGGCGATACAGGGATAGAAGAATGAAGGAAGGCTGAATATAACAATGCATTCAGGATATTATTCCTCCAAAATTAAAACCAATACCCTTCATTAATGCAGTCGGTTAGACTCAAAAGATGACAATTTTACTAACAATTAATAAACACCCATCTTGGGGAGGGAAGTAGTTTTTTTCAGGAGACTAAAAGAACTGATTTTTTTCCCTCATTGCCAATGGTAGTTGATGTACATTGGATTGACATAAGAACTTATTATTACTAATTTCTGTCCAGGCCTGGCCTTAAACTGAATGGTTGGTACCTTTGTAGCTATCCAAAATGCTAACATTTTCTGTAATAAACTTAAAGGCAGATTAATCCTCCTGAATAGTACCAAGGATTTTATCCTGTCGTATATGCTACAGACACCTCTGTAATTCCTGTATTGGATAAGTGGGCTTGTAAAAACCTGTCTTAAGGCCACCTGAGAATTTGCTTCTATTTCTACAAAATACCAAGCTAAGTCGTTCAAAAAACAAACTACAGTAACATATAATCTAATAATTCAACAGCAGTATGCTACGATTTTCTAATGTCCATTGGAGAGCTGACAATATATAACTTCTGTGTATAAAAATAGTACTGTATAGTACTATATAAGATCTATATATAGGAAGCTGAAAGCAATTCAGCTATGGTAGCTATTAAAGAATAGCAGATCCTCCTCACTACTCATCCATTAAGAAGTTAGAATTCCTCAGGATTTATTCACACCTTCTTAGCCACTTAAATTCAGTTCTGATAGTCTAACAGCACCACAATTTTAAACATCCACAATTTTAAAATAACTCATCATGCTTAGCATTATCCACACTAGACAAAATTTCCATTGAACAGAGTTGGGACCTAATTATACTTCAAGTGCTTTATTAAAGTAACAGATTAAAGACTCAATGGAAAGATAGTCAAAAGGGAAAAAAAGAAGCCTCAATAGCAGACATTTCAGGGTTGACTTTGATCATCTGTACATTCTATCATCTGAAGACTTTATCTCCCACCC